TATTTTTAGCGAGATGCGATTTTATCGAATTTAAAAATCTCACTAAAGAAGCTTTTTCAAATAAATCGCAATTTATTTTTAGCGATATTTAATTTAGGCGATCTTTGTACCTTCGCTAACAATGCCAAAATTTCCTCGCTAAGAATTCTGCTTATACGGTATTTGGAAAGTCATTCTTCTAGACCATTTTCATTAATTATATTTCAATCAACTATTGATAGAAAATATACAATCATTCGGTGTTGATATTCTGCCTGCTCTGTAGACTACCCAACAAGGAATGGTCGGTTCAATATTCTGCCTGACCTTTAAAATTCCCAACGATTGGTTGAGTATTCTACCTGATTGCTATTAAATTCTCGACCAGAATCTTCTAGAATAAAATATAAGGATATAACAAACAGTATTCAAGCTCAAAAGTCCATTTAGCAATACAAAATAAGAGCAGTGCAAACATGAACCTGCAAAAAATCAGAGGTGGGATCAGATTCCATGGAAGAGTTAGCATCCCCTGCCGACCGGTCACAATTACTATGTGCTCCTTGTCATGATCTGAAAAAACGGGAAAACTCATCGACAATTTTGTGTGTATATAATGGCCTAACAATTGGTATGAAAAATGTCAGTCAGCATTTGACTAAATGATAAATTTAAACGAGACTGCTGATATTCTGTTTAAGCAACTTCTTTGTTTATAATTACCTCCTAGATTGAGGTATTTCATTGTTTTAGTAGTATGGTATTTTAAAGAACTATTTTTTTTTTATTTTGTATGATGGTATTTGTACGTAGGGAGAAGGATATGGATATAACGAACTATATTCAATCTCAAAGTCCATTAAACAATACAAAACAGGAGCAGAGCAAACACGGACCTCCAAACCATCAGAGGTGGGATCAGGTGCCATGGAGAAGTGAGCATCCACTGCTGACCGGTCACTCCCGCCGTGTGCTCCTTGTCATGGTCAGGAAATTACGGAAAAATCTGTCGTCAATTCAGTGTATAAATAATGGACTAACAATTGGAATGAAAAAAGTCAGTCAGCATTTGACTCAATGATAAATTGTTTTTGCTGACAAGACCATAAAACTTACGAAATGATGACTTAAAGAGACTGCTGATATTACCGTTTCATCAACTTGCTTGTCAATAATTTATCTCGTTTTAGAAATTGTTCATACGTAGAGTATGCTCTTGCGTAACGAATCAACTGAGATATATATACTCCGTATACAGGTGATGAGGGTATACTGCTGCCTAAGTAAGGGAAGTTGACGATAGAAAAACGTGATGATAATTTGAAGTCGGATAATTGTTCTTCAGATCTAATGTTTCTTGTTGATTTACTCGACTTATGTCTTCTATTAGTTTTTGATATTATAGACAGCTGCTTTTTTATAAAAATGGAACTCGTAAATTTACTTACCTTGTCCTTGGTCATTTGCAAATTTATTTTGTTTAAAAACAAACTGATTGTACACGCAAATATTTTGATGTTGACATTAAAGATTGCTTTTATTTTGCATGATTGTATTTATATGTGATGATAATTAAAAGTCGGAAAAATGTTCTTTATATATAATGTTTTGTACCTGCATATCTGTAGCTCGCTGGTCTAAAAGAAATGTCCTCTACGACTAGAGAACTACAGTACCACCCATTGAAAAAAGTTTATATTTATTGCGTGAAAAAAGTTTCTATATTTTTTTATTCAGAAATATTTCTAACCGTGTAAGACAAAAGTTCGAGAACATCGAAATTCTAGCCATTTTGGATGGCAAGATTTCTTTCGAACTAAGGTTTGGCAATGTTAATTTTTATCACAAGAAGAATGTGACCTTAAGTTTGCGACAAACCGCTAAAAGTCATTAGATACCTATTGACTTATCCGACTGTAAATAAATAATATTTCTAATCATCTTTAAAAAGTTTGAAAAATTTCCCTCTATATTTTAATGATAAACTTTTTATATAATTCAGTTATAATTGTATAACAATTAAATAGTTAATATTTATATTTCTATCAAACATTTTAATTCTAATAATGTAACCTTTACCTGTACCTTTGTAATGTAAAATTCAAAATATTTGCTCATCTTGGTCATGCCTATGAAAAGAAAATATTTTGGAATTTAAGGATGTACAACACACCTACCCCAAAAAATTCCTGTCGTTTAATTTTCGTTATTTTTGTATATTTGGACCTTACGTATGCACCAGAACATCAAAAGTTACCACCCTTTAGTTGTTTACAAGGAGAGAAAAGTTTTAATCAATGAACTACTTAAACCTTGATTTTTTGATATAAATGTCAAATTTCATTGGCTTATTCCTTTAACCATTTAACACAAAAACATAGTCATCTTTTTGATATACATATCATCAAAATAATTTTTAAAGGCCTTAAACTGAAAAACTATGAATGATCTAAGCCTTGAAAATTGCGTATTTTCAAATTCAAAATTTTTTTGTGAAAAAACCTGTCGTTAATTTTGGCAATGTTAATAATTTAATATCACAAGTTTTGATTTAATAGCGGAAAAATTACCCCCTCCCCCTTTCTCAATAAAATGTGACCCTACTTTGTTATATGAATCTACAAATACACATTAAAAAATTCAATTGGAATATTGCTTTTGCTTCAAAAATATATTAACTAACAAATTTAAAAGTTCTTATATGTAAAGCTTATTTAAATGTAGATTTTTAGGCAATTTTTGAATACCCCTATCACCCCCAGACTTACAGTGCAAATATAATTTGAATCCCGAAGGTATGGGCAGAATAAATATTGACTACTCTTTTTATATGTATCAGGAAAAAATTACTATGTTGCGTTAAGCATTCCATATCCATGAAACCTGTAAATAAATTTTTAATTTTATTTCTTTAATTTTATTCATTAAAAAATTTATCACTCTCTTGTGATATAAAGAATAATTGTAAGTCATTATTTCAAAAAAATTTCCCTCTATATATTTAATGATAAACCTAAAGTTAAAATGAAAATTCTGTATTTCCACATTTTCAAAATATCAAAATTACTCTTCATCTGTTTCAATTTATATCAAATCGCACTTTGATATAATTGCTACGTTTTGTTTTGATTCGAGGAAATGCGAACCGACATTGTTAAAATCAAACGATTTTCCGCAATAATATTTATGCATGGAACAATTCTTTTCAATATTCTATACTTACACGCGGATTTATATCAAGACTGTGGAAAAGTGAATAAAGGGAAGAAAATAAACATCTCCTACATTTTAAATTTTAATTTTCATTGTAAAAAATTATTTTTTTTTGTTTATTTATTGTTGTAACAATATTCATATTACCTGTACCTTTGTTATATAACTGTAAAATTCAAAATATAAAAAAAATTGCGCTTTGATCTAAAATACAATTTATTGTATATGAAATGAAATGAAATAAACATTAAGGGATGGTATTTTATGCGGGTTAATTAAAAAATACTATGAAAAGAAAATATTTTGGAGTGTGTTGTATTTTAAATGAGTTAAAACATAAAAAGGTCTTTTTGACAGGATCATGATTTCAAGAACACAAGTGATATGACAGTTTGGAATTTTTCAAGCACTGGATGTGAACGAAGCTTAATTATACACTGATCATGAGGATTATTTAACAGCTTCATAATGACATTCGAATAAAAGTCACAACAAACATACTCAAAAAGTGTGATCCCCCGCTTTTGGTGTCATTTAGGATGGGATGTCATTATCTATGGCATACTGCGTAGTGCCATTCAAAAGTAATCAGCAAAGTATTCAAAAATTAGGTTTAACTTGAAGATCAAGGTTAAGATGACAAAATATCATAGCATGCACGGACACTTCTTGTCACAGGTAATGCTCATGTCAAATATGAAAGTCCAATTACTCTCGATGAAAAGGTATAAGGAAATATAACATGTTTGAAAAGTATGTTAAAATTCAAGCATTAGGCCACAGGGTAAAAAATCATGGTATATTTAGGTCTTGGCAAAGGTAATATACATGTGTAATATGAAAGCCTTGCTTTTTCCTTTCAAAACTTGTGACCATATTTATGTAATGTTAAATTCTTGAAAAGTATGTCAAACATCATGTTCAAGGTCACAGAGTCAGGAAATTTAAAGGTCTTGTCACAGGTAACGTGCGTGTGAAATATGAAAGCTAGAAGTTTATCATATCATTCAAAAGTTATGACTAAGTTTAAAGTTTTTTGTGACAACCAGACAGACTGACAGACAATCAGACAATGAAATTTAATATCACTTTGCTTTCCGGGGTGATAAATATAAACAAAATGTTGAGCAGGTAAAAGATAAAAACAATTGAATAAGAGTGTGTGTCACAAATAGACAATAAACATCCACTTTAACAAATACTCAGACGAAGGATTTAACTTCTTATTTTTTTCTTCGCAGATTTCAATTAATTATTTCAAAATAGATATTGAGGGGAATCCCGAATGTAACGTAATTATCATTTCATTTAGCCTCAAGGTAGATCTACAGATTTACCTTGTGCAGTACATCACGTTTGATTATAAAAGTGCACATATTTTAGTAGTAAATAATAAAAACAAATCTATTGTGTTTTTATTATGACAATTATATAATAAGAGTTCCTAACTCTGAATAAATTTAAGAAAATTGAAACCTTGCAAAATTGTTTTTTTTTCTAGCTGTAATGCAATGTTTAATTTTTTTTAGGGGAAAAATGAAACTTTATAGATTCCCCTATCTGAATACTTTAAAATCCCATATGCTGAGTTCACGAATTCATGTAAACAAACTGAATATTTTAATAAATTGTCAATTACTTAGTGGAATTTTCCTTTTTACGAAATTCTTTTTTGCGCAATTTGTTAATTCTATTAAGATGTAAGATTTTTTTAAATTTTTTATTTTTTATGACTGTGGTTTTTTGAAAATTCGCGTTAAAGTCGTATATATATTCACAAGAACTTAGAAATCTCAGTATTTCACGAGACACGATCATGCATACTATCGTTTTATCTCTGATATTTGTTGCCTGTTTTACCTATTCCATGGCATGTACTTGTTTGCCTCAGCATCCTCAAGTACAGTTCTGTAACGCTGGCTTTGGTAAGACAAGTGTTCTATACTCTTACCATAATTGCCTTTTAATTTTTAATTAATTTTGTACAAGCTTTTACATCAAATTTTTATATGGTGTATCTATATATTTAAATTTTATGAGTTTTGTTACATTTAAAATTCATAGTTATCACAATAACTACTGTGCAAATAATTTTATACAAATAAATTTAATAGTTAAATTTTGTGCTTTTAATTTCTTGCATTTTTCCTCTCCTTTTTATAGTTGTCAAGGCAAAAGTCTTGGCTAGAAAACTGGGTAACAACGAATTTGGACAAGAAGTGAAATATGAAGTCAATATTCTTGAGGATTACAAAGTACTTTTTAAACTGTTTTTCTACTTTTGTGCCTGTCTTAAATCTAATTTTAAGTGTATTTACAAAAAGATTACCTGATAAAGATTGATTTTCAGCATTTTATAATAATGATTTTTACTTCCACAGAACGGTTACGGCCCAAACCTGGGAAGAAGATCAATATACACCGCCTCTAACAGTGCTGCTTGTGGTTCTTACTTTGAATTGAATAAGACTTACATCATTGCAGGTAGTTTTTTTTTAAATAATATAGTCCCACAGAATGTTCTCAATACGTTCTATTTCCACTATTGAAGAGTTAAAGTTCTTAGTGCGCTCTTTTGTGAAAAAGTCGGAGAATGTACAAATCTCGCGGGATTTCTGGGACAAACGTTATATAAACATGTAAACAACATGTTGAATATCGATGAACAAATCTTAACAAATTGCATATGAAATATCTTATTGTTGTGGACTTTATGTAAATCAAGAGTACAGATGACAAGGATATTAATTTACATCTATTGGTGATCGTATGTATCTATTTATCGTAATGGTACATTTAAAGACAATACACATACCTCGGAAATATCGTATTTTTTATTAATGGACGATAAAGTTAGGGTTTTCGCTCTTTTACACACGTCTTTTAGTTATTCTATTCATTAGTTAGAATGACAAATGCACTTAACATTTAAAATTGGATTGAGACTAGCATGTTTTGTATTATCCGCAATGTCATGCTGTCCCAGTCAAACGACCAAACGCGCCTCTAATTCTGAAGAGTTCACTAATGGAAATACAACGTATTATTTGTGTGTTTGTTTTATCTATTATTTAAACATGCATGTAAATTCAAGATAGAAAATATACTGATATTAGTACTGTTATCAAAACAAATTTATATTGTTTTAATTAAATTCGATTAAGTATATAAGGAAACCTTCTAAATAAATTGTTGATCACACGATTTGTATTTTTAAATAGAAAATTTACATTACTGCATTATTTAATTTTATTTTATTTATTGCCACAATTTCAAGAAAAAAAAATAGCATTAGACACTATGAAAAAATAAACTTTTTTCTCTTCTTGTCTTTTTTTAAATATTAAAACTTCAATACAGAAAAATAATTATATTCAGAATAGAAATGTCCGAAAGCAAAACCCCTTTACAGGTATCGTCAATCCTCGCTTAGCGTTATGTACAGAGTTTAGCAAATTGAACACACCCGTACACAGTTTTTGTAAACAGGGCACGAGCTGTTATTGTTAATGTTTACGATTCACCAGGTGTGTTCAATTGTTAAAGTCTGATCACCTTAATTGCACGGACTGTCAATATACTTTGCGTTTGTTTTGCTTACGAACATTTTAATCTGAATTTTCTGAAATATATTTTCAATATTTTTCAGTAATACACAATATTAAAAATAAAATTAAAACTGAAAGTGCAAGGACGTGTCAATCAAACCCATCTAAAAATTTGAAGTTTCAATAACTTTTAGATGAAATAAGATTTTTAACATATTTTCGTGTGAAAAGCTATTACAATATATAAGTCGTGATATTATACATAAAATAACTTAAATCTGTGTCTATGCACCTTTAATGTGTTCTAAACAGTATTCATAAAACTATCTTTTTGTGAGGCATTAGAGGAGGTTTTTAGAGTACAGACAGCATCATATGGCTAAATGTTTTTATTGATCTATGAAAAATATGGAGATAACGACAAGCATTCAAGATCAAAAGTCAATAAACAATTCAAAGTGGGAGCATAGCAAACACAGACCTCCAAAACATCAGAGGTTGGATCAGGTGCCAAGGAGAATTGACCATCCCCTGCCGACCGGTCACACCCGACGTGTGCTCCTTGTCATGATCGGGAACAAACGGGAAAATTCGTCGTCAATTCAATGTGTAAATAATGGAATACCAATAAGTATGAAAAAACCACAGCAAGCATTTGACTTAATGATAAATTCTATTTGCTGACAATGTAATTGTATCGACCAAATTACTTACGAAATGATGACTTTAAATGAAACTGCTGCTATTCTTGTTTCATCAACTTTTTTGTCGATAATTTACCTCGTATAATGTTGAGTTAGTAAGGGAAGTTGACGATGGAAAGTTTACGTTTGTCTTTCTTTTTAGGTGGCATACGAAGAGGTGTTTGGACTACAAATTTATGTGCTTTCACTCATCGTTATAAATCTCTATCAAAATATCAACGAAAAGCTTTTGAACGCGGAATATACAAAAGAAACTGTGGCTGCAAGGTAAGTAATAATTTTTTTTGGGTTTAGATTTCTTCTTTCAGAGAGGAATTTTTATTTATTTATTTATTTTTAATTAGCTGTTTTCTGATCAAAGTAACGTCTTATTTTTACTCTCATTTTAAATAATTTGCGAAGAAAAATATTTGACAAAAACCTGTATATTGAACAGTAATTAAAAGTGTAATACTTCTAAGTGAAGTTCTAACTAAAAGTGATCAACATTATTTGTCCCACAATTTAAAACATGGAAATTTCATCTTTAAAAAAGAAAAAAAGGTTTCAGTCACCAGGGACTTTGTTTAAAATTACAGTTACTCTCCCAACAACAAATGAGATTTATTTTACATGAAACAACGTAACAAAAAGATGACAGTAGGGGAATAATGAGATTAATCGGTAATAGATACTGCAAGCATTGATAATGTTTTAAATGAAATTTAAAATGGCTATGATATGCCTACATACTTAAAAGATTGATTGCTAACATTTAATGATAATAATGAATTAATATTTTTCAGATTGTTGACTGCGTATTCAGTGGAAGTGAGTGTCCAGCCCAGTCAAATAACCAGTGTATCATAAGATCTAATAGAAATTGTTGGTACACTCAAAATGCCTGCACAAAATCAAAGTACGGATGTGACTGGGACACCCGTTCCTGTAATGGACAATATAGACCAGGAAAATAAGCGGCACTTAAAATAAAGAAATTAAGAATGGCAATCGAAAAAGAATAGACTCGGCAGTAACATCAGTTAAAACAGTTAACACACACTTTGCAAACTGATCAATACCCCTCTCCCCTGATCTCATATCCAAACAGCCATATTATCTATAAATAAAGTTTTAACTGAATTTTGGAAAACAACAACTGATGAATATTATAGTTTTGAATTGATTCTTACGACTAACTGATTCCAAATTTTCTAACCGATATCCTTCATCAGAAAGTTATATAATAACGAACAATTTTTTTTTAAATTTATGTACAAAGTACCCGGTATATCTTTGAATAAAGAAATATAATAGATATTAATTGAGTTTTGTTTATTTCCTTTTTGGTACGTCTCAAGATTAGACAAATTACACGACATAAGATAAAGAAATGTTACTGACACTTTCTGACTTCAGGGAAAAAACACAATTACTCAGTTCAAAACTTATATGTTATGCTTCAAATATCGTGTTAAGTTCATAAATATACTGAAAGGATAAAGAAAGACATAGTAAAACTTTTGAATTAAATCAAAACTATTATTTCGAATATGTTTTCCAATATTGTTATCAAATATTTTTAATTCATCTTTAATCAAAAAGTGACCAAAATCTTGTGTGACTTTGACTGATAATTCATTGGTTATTGAAATAGATATGTTGATACCCCCCAAAATTAAAATAATTCTCATCATCTCCCTTGCGCATCAGTAACAGCGTTGATTCTCCTGTGCACTGAGTTCACCAGAGCATTTATCTTTCTCATAGGATTATTATTCAACCCTTCCGATGGTAGTTCTAAGGGTTGAGAGTAACTGTAACATTCTAAATCCAGCAAAGGATGTATTCACTATGACAACAGAATTGACCTGTAGGAGAGAACAATTTCCCGGAAAAGGTGACATTTAAGAAGTAATCTTTATTTGCTGTTTTCTACCGTATATATGTCTAAATTTTTTTAATTTGTATTTTATATCTAAGATTCATTATTTACAACTTTACAGTAAACCTCCAAAGTTGGCTGAAACACCATTTTGTCCGTTAAAGCGTTGATTTTTGCATGGATTTTGGCGTAGAAGCCCTTCAGCGCAAGCCTGTCCCTAAATAAAAATGTGATATTTTGATAGGTTGGAATGTAAAGAATAATTTAAGATAGGATTCTTTTAGGGGCACCCCTGTCCTAGGGTTGAATTTCACAAAAAACCTACAAAAAATGAGGTAATCTGATTTTGATACCCTGCTTCAAATTTATATACCTTCATGCATATATAGTCAGACTAGCTTGATATATGCGCTGACTTTTTACACCGTGGAAACTTTCTTTTTAAAGTCGGGGGTTCGAATCCACATGGTATCACACTTTTAAAGTTTTAAATTTCGCCTTTTCAAAGACCGTTTTATTTTTTTTTAATATAGACTTGTGTATTTTCCTTCAATTATTTATCCTTTTTTGCATTCCCATTCTTGATATAAGGAACACTAAAGAGATATCAAATCGTAACAATCAAATGTACAGTTGTCAGGCAGGCGGAACAAACCTCAGTATAAGCACACTTTCTCCAAGGACAAGGATAACTCACTCTGTATTACTCGATACAGATATTCTTGGCAGCAATGAACTACGATTAATTTCAATTGTATATATTCCTTAGAATTTGATCCCATTGATTTTGCTACATATATCAGTAACTGTACTCCCTTAGATTTCATTTAGGCCTATATAATTTGCACACATTAATGACATGTTTTATTTTATCCACGGACAAATAGCCTAGACATAAAGAATAGAATTCCAGAGACAGTAGACAATGTGCAAGACAAGTAAAGACAAATAACATAATCAATTATTATACTTGGATTTAACAAACTCAGAGAATGAATGAAATGGTTCATTCTACCTCTACTCACTTAAAAAAAGATTTAGGAAAAACAAATTGTTAAATGTATTCAGCCTAATGCCATTAATCAGAACGGAAATCGACAAGCTTTTTGTAGAGAAAAAACCAGGCCCGGTCCTAAGGTCAGATCCCTATTTATAATGAAATGATCCTTTGCCCGCCCAATAAATCCCAAGAATTTTCTATTTATGATAGAATTTACAGAATCCAGCTGGTTTGGTACAAGTGAATGTTTGTAAGAAAGTCTCAACAAACACAAGCTACATTTCCCAGTGTGAACATGCTAAAACCATTACGCATACGACGCATACGTACGCATGTGAGAGTAAAATCGACGTTAAAGTTTCCAAGCTCGCGGTCCAAATTAGAGCAGAGGGTTTCTGTCAATTTCAGGGAGAACAAACTAATTCAGGGAGAACAAACTAATTCAGAGAATTTGTGTCCCCCGCTTAGGGAAAAGTAAACCAGTTTGGGGGTCGGGGGGGGGGGGGGGTCGGATCCCCCTGACTGAATTTGTAGAATTTTTAAATGCATACATGTATACTGAAGCAAACAAAATATGTCAATATAGATATAAAAATTTGATTGCTTATTATACCCGCACTTTCTAAAGAAAGTTCGGGTATATTGTTGTTACTCATGTCCGTCCGTCCGTCCGTCTGTCACATTTTTCTTCCCTGAACTCCTCTTACATTTTACACAGTAGCCTAATCATCTTTTGGGAGATGGTTGGTGGTGTCATGTAGATGTGCAGTAAGGTTTCGGAATTTTGATTTTGCCCCGGGGGGTCAAATGGGGGTCGAAAAAGGACGTTTTTTATGCAAAAAGCCCCGTCTTCCCTGAACTCCTCTTACATTTTACACAGTAGCCTAATCATCTTTTGGCAGATGGTTGGTAGTGTCATGTAGATGTGCAGTAAGGTTTTGGAATTTTGATTTTGCCCCGGGGGGACTAATGGGGGTCGAAAAATGATGTTTTAAAAATGTCTTAAATGATTTCTTTAACACTAAGCGAAATACAAATAAAAAAGGATAGAGGTCAAGGTCACAGGAATGTGCAAGGTGAAGTTTTTGATGCAGTTTAGTAGCTTCACTAATACATATTAGCATATTATGTTTGATAAAAGTATCTTGAATTATTTAATGAAACAGAGCTTAACAGTTTTTCTAAAAAAAGAGAGGTCAAAGGAAAGGTTGGGGCCAAAATGTTGTTGCAGTTGACAAGCTTACATCAGTATGAATTTACTATTAGCATATGAAGTTTGATAAAACTATAATTAATGGTTTATTTAAAACTTAGATAAACACATATTTTGAAAAAGTAAGGTCAAGGTCAAAGGAAAATTCAAGGTCAAAATAAGTTGATGTATTAATACCTCTCAGCAGTATGTATCAGCATATGGAGTTTGATAAATATATCTTGAATTGTTTATTAAAAACTGATCTAGACATTAAATTTAGAAAAGTGAGGTCAAGGTCACAGGAAAGGTCAAGGTAAAAAAGAGTGAAGCATTGTAAAGCTTACATCAGTATGTATCATCATGTGAAGACAGATGGAAGGGTGGAGGACGGACATGACAAAACTATACATGTATTCCTAATCATGGTGTGGCATAAAAAACTTGAATCTACATTATATGAGGATGTTTCCATCTATCAAGATTATACAAGCAAATTCAAAGAATTGTGGTCCTCTGCTTTCTGTGTTTTAGTGAATGGGATGCCATAATTTATGGCAGATTGTGTGTCAAATGTGCACCCCTATCATATATCAATTTTTGAAAATTGGGTCAAAGGGGAAAAATCATAGCATGCTCTCAAACATTTTGTTGCAGGTAATGTACATGTCAAATATGCAAGTCCTATCTCTTTTGATTCAAAAGTTATCTATACAATATAATATTTTTGAAAAGTAGGTTAAACTTCTAGGTCAAGGTCACAGAGTCAAAAGTCATGATATATTTAGAAAAGTCTTTTCACATGTGTAATAAACATGTATAATTTGAATGCCCTTTCTTTTCTCTTTCAAAATGATCAATTTAAAATGTTATGTTTTGGAAAGTAGGTAAAACTTAAAGGTAATCATAGTATATTTAGAAAGTTTTGTGGTAATGTACATGTGAAATATGAAAGCACTATCTCTTATTATTCAAAAGTTATGACCAAGGTTAAATTTATTGTGACAGATGCACATACTAGCTGTCAATAAGATGGACAGACTTAGAGGACAATCTTAAAATAAATCAAAACCCAATAAAAACAGGCCATATATACACATCCACATTCACAGACTGAAGGTTATACTGTACTCCAGTAAAAAAGAATTATAACTTTATGACATGCAATAATAAATACCTCTTTTATATCCAGATTCATCCTGATTTTGCTTTTTCCAATCAGGGATCAATAACATTATCTAAAACTTTGCATGTCCCTTCACCAATCTCTTTGTTTCTCTCTGACCTATAGTGCTGGTGGTTTGAAAATTGGCGCAAATACTAGTCTAACACAGGATGTAAATAGATAAGTTGTTCTTGGAAGTCTTTACTACTCTTAGATAATTCAACCCTAAACATGTCTGTTAATCAAATGAAATGCTAACAAAATATTACTTGGATGCACACAAGTGTAACGAAATACTTTCAAAATGCAATTTCTTTCTGCAGAGTGTAAAGAAACATTAATAAAACACCAACATTCTAATGAAACATTAACAAAATACCATGCCATCCCAATCCTATAAAGTGTTGCATTGATGTTTCGTTAAATGCAACACTTTCAAAACGTACAAACAAAATACAAAAGTATGTTTTGGTAGGGTTTTGAAGATATTTTAAAAGTATTTTGTTAGATTTCTTTTTCATTTGGGTATGAATTAATTATAATACTTGAAAATTCTGTGAAAATGTATGTGATTGGAAAAGTCAATCCTTGAATTCAAAATACTGTGAAACAAGAAGTGTTTATAATGTATCAAAATGAGATTGTGTTTAGGTTGTGTTTAGATGTTTTCAAAGACTTGCATGTGGATTATAATTTTAAAATTCAAATTTAGTGGTTTATTGATGATTTGTTACTTATGATTTGTTAGTAGTTTGTTAGAGTGTTTTGTTAGCCTCATTTGCATGTGATTTGCTATACTATCGGAATACTTTCAAAACACAGTCTTTTGTAAGTAGTTTATTAGAGTGTTTCATAAGTAGTTTGTTAGAGTGTTTTCAAAGTAATTTGTTATAGTGTTTTGTTAGCTCATTTACATGTGATTTGCTATACTATCGGAATACTTTCAAAACACAGTCTTTTGTAAGTAGTTTGTTAGAGTGTTTCATAAGTAGTTTGTTAGAGTGTTTTC